AAATAATTAAATAATACAAATAAAATAAATCTCTTCATATAAACACACTAAGGCTTTGGCTGTGCTTTTTCCATTTAAATCACGATCCAAACAAAGATGCTAAATACATGTTATTTAGATTGAAATTCGATTGTATAATTTCGAAATTTGAAGCAAAAACAAAATGGTCTGATTTTAGCTTTGTGAATGTCACCCTCGTGTTTATTTTGACTTCAAGTAGTGATTGAATTCTGACTGCAGCGTATAAACTATCTATTTAGTAAATTCAATCATTCAGAGGCGACTGTCAATCACTGGAGGTTTTGTTTATGTCATTGTTATGTCTCTTATGTTCTTGCTGTCTTAGTTTTGGTTATTCTGTTTTATATGTTGATTGACTGGAAAGCACTTTGGTCAGCATGAGTTGTTTTTAAATGTGCCATAAAACTAATAAACAAACAAACAAACAAACAAAATTATTAGGCAGCACAACTGTTTTCAACATTGATAATAATAAGAAATCAGCATATTAGTATGATTTCTGAAGGATCATGTGATGCTGAAGTAATGTCTGCAGTCTTCAGCTATAGCTTTGCCATCACAGAAATATATTAAAATAGAGCAGTTAATTTAAATTGTAATACTATTTCATAATATTACTGTTATAAATAAATGCAGTCTTGGTGAGCGTAAGAGAATTCTTCCACAAAGTCCAAAGTCTTCTTCCAAAATTTAACATACTTTCTTTGGACAATATTTATTTTTTGATTTGAATTTTCTGTGGTTTGAGACATTGAAACATTTGTACACAACTAGACTAATTATACAGTCACTGAAATAGTTAATTTTTTTTTTAAGATCAAAAAGAGCAGCATTTATTTGACATATATTTTTTGACATTATAAATGTCTTTACAGCAGGGTTATTATAGTTAACTAAAATTGAAACAGAAATTAAAACCCTAAAAATATTTTCATTTATATAATAAAAATAAATGTTAACTGAATAAATTAAATAATAAAATATATAAAAAACTGAATGTACTAAAATTACTAAAACTAAAAAAGTTATATACATACACATAGAAAAAAATACTAAAAAATGACAAATAACACACAACAGAATTAACTATTACTAAATTAACTATAACTATAACTATAATAAAAACGATAATAGTATCTCAGCTATACTAAAATAATACTGCTTTAGGGACACTTTTGGCTAACTTGATTCATCTTTGCTGAATAAAAGTATTAATTTTATGGCATAAATAGTATAGTATGAATAAAAGAATAAATAAAAAAAATTACAACAACAACAAAAACGCAACAAAATTATTAAAACTTGACCTAAAATTGAAATTAATAAAATTATTACAATTTTAATAAAAACTATAACTGTATCTCAGTTATACTAAAAAAGTACTGCTCTATGTTCACTTTTGGTTAACTTGATTCATCTTTGTTGAATAAAAGTATTAATTTCTATAGTATAAATGGTATAGTATAAATTGAACAAAAACAAAAAAACATCTGAAACTACAGTTCAGATGTTTGCTGACCCCAAACATCTGACCTGTAGTGATATATAAGTGATACATTCGCTAGTATTACAGTATCATATAATTTATTATTATTATTATTATTATTATATTACAATTTCTTTTAATCACTATATTCCAATTTTGGATACTTGATTATTTATTGGTATCTAATGCTCAGTTCAAGAAAATCCTAAAAACACTAATAATTTGAATGTTAAATGTACATTTTAAATTAAAAAAAATTCAAAATAAACATATACATTATAAATATTTACATATACATTTATGATGCCTAAATTCACTTGTAGCATTTAAAATGACTAGGTTTCAGTTTTTAGTGTGTTCTTTCCAATTTATTTAGACAAAATAGTATTTTAATACTATTTCATAGTATTTGTAATACTAATATCCATTTAGAAGACAATACAATTAAAATGATCAGCTTATCACTATCAGCCATAATTTCAATATTTCTGTAAATAAAATATATAATATAGTCTAATATAGTTACGATCATGTATTTGGAGCTTATTCAAAAGTACTAAAAAACCATTATAACAGGAATCAAAATACTGTTATCCTTAAATTCTGCCATTCCCATCCTTACTATAAAATGCATTTCTGTCAAGCAGAGAAGATCTTGTCTTTGTAAGTTGTAGTGCAGGTGGCCAACCTAGTGTGTTCACAGTGACGACCTCGCTGAACGGGCCCGTCCCCAGCTTGTTCTGGGCCAGGACGCTGAATTGGTAGGCCGTCTCGGGCTCCAGGCCTTGCACAAGGAGCCAGTGTTGCCCGCTGGGCACAGGCATGGACAGCCAGTCATGCGGTCCTAACTGCTCCCTCTTCACCCTGCAGGAGGAGTCACATGCACAGATGGAGAGAGTTCAGCACAGCACAAGCATACATGTGCGTATGCTCCGATAATGATTGCCATGTCGCTCACAATACTGATGAGAGCACTGCCTGCAGCTAGACGTAAAAAGACAGCTTGTTTGGCTCAGTGTGAGTGCTCAGTGATATACAATAACACAAAAACTGTCTCACGGTTTCCCAGAGGAAATTCTGAAGAATGCGTTTTCAACCGCTGATCTTTACAAAAATATCCTCATAGATCTTCAGTGTGCCTTGTACGGCCTACAGCTCTTTCCCCTGGATCTCTTGAGAAAGACCTATGGCTTGAAATGAGTCTTATGGACAATACATCTCCTTATAGAAACCACCAGAAAGGCTACAATGTTGTGGATAAGTGGAGTAGTGATTTTTTACAGACTACAGATCTTTTACAGACGTTTAACTACAGAAGCCCTGGACTGTCACATCATGTTCTGTTGCACATATCCAAGTAGTTTTGCATGCTCAAAACTTTGTGTAGCTGCACCTACAGCCAGCATGCTTCATTCTGATAAACTGCTGCCCTTGGCATGCATGAAATGACTCCCACCGGACGTCCCGACTAAATTCAAGCTGAATTTCTTCGACCTTCATTGTACGCAAGCAACACAAGGACACCATGCATGCCCCCCTTCAGTACAGTATTATCATCCTCATGACACTTTATTTCCTCCATTTATTATATATTTATATTTTATTTAAAATAAACCGCCTCTCCAAGGACGGACAAAGCATACATGGTGTCTTTGTTCACCATAAACTATAAAGTGTGAATCTGTGACAAAACTGAAACTGACATGGGTGTTTTTGTTTTTAACTATCTATCTTACTACTCAAACTATCAGTCTTAAAATATGAAAATCCATCATAAAAATAAGAATATATGTTAAAAACGCTGAATACCTAAACAAGAACGAAATAAATAATACGTATAATATACAAACTAATATAATAAATAAATATATATATAAATATATATATTTGTTAATTTATAACATTAGAAATGTATGGAAGCCCGTTCCTGCCACTGAATTAAAAAAAATGGTAATTGCGACTTTTTATCTCACAATTCTGTTTTTTTTTCCTCACAATTACGAGTTTACATCTCGCAATTCAGATTTTTTTTCTCAGAGTTGCATACTATAAATTCGTAATTCTGACTTTTTCTCAGAATTACGTGATATAGACCTGCAGTTATAAGTTATAAAGTCCAATTCTGAGGTGAAAAAAGAGTGATATGTTCTCAGAATTGTGACTTTTTATCTCACTATTCTGACTTTATAACTCAAAGTTGTGAGCTTATATCATGCAATTCTGAAGTCAGAATGGCGAGATTCAAACTGCATTTGTGAGAAAAAAGTCAGAATTGCGAGATATGTCACATTAGTGAGAAAAAAGTCAGAATTATATCCCGCAATACCTTAAAAATTGCAAGTTAATATCTCATAATTCTGACTCTCAGAAATGTGTGTTTGTATCACGTCATTCTGAGAATAAATGAATTTGCGAGACATAAACTTGTAATTGCGAGAAAAAAGTCTGAATTGTGAGATAAAAAGTCGCAATTACATTATTTATTTTTTATTCAGTGGCGGAAACAGGCTTCCATAAATATAAAATATATAAAATTAATTTTCTTAAAACAAATGTTTAAATATTTTATGTAATAATATATATATATAGTATAGTTATATCATCTTAATGCAAGAACCAAAACGTTCAAAATGTCATCTCTCTCACAGATTGCTGTGCTAAACACAAGGCATCCTTTGAGATATTGAAATTACACTGTGTTAGGAATATGCCTATACTGCACAAGACTTTCAAAAAGAAAATAGTAAGGAATCAGGTGTATACGTCATTCACCCCGTTCCTATTGGTGAGTCATAATATTCCATTGAAGTCTAATTGATCACTTCCTTCATGCCCTTATAGCTTGAGAGTTCACAGGCTCTTGAGATGTGTGTTATTCACAGCATCTCAGCGGTCGCTCGCCACCTCTCCTGCAATGCACAGGAAGTAGCAGGAATACGCCAACTATCTGCGTCAATGAGGCTGACGGGAGCTGTTGAGCTCACGTGGGTCACCTTTAAAGGCCATTCATACACAACCTTTAAAGCATGAGTCACACTGTCCAATGTTTCAAATGACACCTTTAGTCAGCTCTTGGCACAGGACACATCAGGCCAGCGGATAATGATGATCTAAGAAGAAGTCGGAAGCAGAACAGTGAGGAAGGTCTGGCCCTTGGGTGAGGATTAACATGCTTTCATCCTCCATGGGGCTTCTATTCTTCTTTAGCTTTTGCATGTGGGGACTGCTGTGTTAGTGGAAGGGCTCAAGTTAGTAGACAGTATAGACTGTGAAGAAATGCTGAGTGTGACATACAGACACGGTTCCCTTATATGAGACACAGATCTGTCTTGGATGACAATGTGAACAGCAAAAATAACATTGAAACTAATTCCGATCTGCGCCACATACTTGGAAATAAATACGATACATCTCATTTCTTGATGAGTTAACAGCCGGGTAAGAATTCATGTCAGTTTTTTAGTCTGAAGCAACATATTCAATCTGAAGCAACATTTTTTATGTTATTTTTTATTCACCCTTAGCATGAAGAATATGTAAAACAACAACAAAAAAATATATATATTAATATAATAATATGTGCCGTGATTCCTCAGTTCAGTTAAAGTTGCAAGTTGCAAAAATACTTAAACAAGCACTAAGAAAGATAATAATTAGGTACCTTACTGCAGCCGCAATGTAGGCGCATAATGCTGATTTAACATACAGTACATATATTTAAACACTACAGTTCAAAAGATTGTGGTCGGTATTTTTTTTATTAAATTAATAATTTTATTCAGGAAAAGCTGCATTAAAAGTGAGAGTAAAGACTTATATTGTTACAAAATATTTCTGTTTCAAATAAATGCTGTTCTTTTGAACTTTCTATTCATCAAAGAATCCTGAAATATTAAGCCACAGAAATATTATGCAGCACAACCGCTTTCAACATTGTTTATTAAGTACATAATCAGCGTATTAAAATTATTTCTGAAGGATCATGTGACACTGAAGCATAAAGTAATGGCTGATGAAAATTCAGCTTTGACATCACAGGAGTGCATTTTATTTTGAAATGTATTAAAAATAAACAGTTATTTTTACATTTCACTTTTTTTCTTTTATACTTTATATTTCATAAAATAAATGCATTCTTGGTGAGCATAAGAGACTTCTCTTTTAAAAACAAAATAAAAGAAAAAAACCTTACCAACCGGAAAATATTTGAAGGGTAGTGTATGTACTGTATACAGTCCTATATATAAACATTCCTTTCCCAGGTCATATAATCCTTACACTTTCTTCTATTTTTCTCCATATAACAGCCATGTGTGTCTCTAAACTCTAAACTAAATTTCATGACTATTAATAGCTCAAAAAGGAGTGAAATCTGTCTCCAGGGCTCGCAACGGGCTAAACCTGTTCATGCTACATTCCCATAAAACACTGCTGCCATCTGTTACCTGGTGTGACATTGCAGAAATATGTTCTAAAATGAGTAAGTTCCAAGTATCGCTAGCAAAGACACAGCTTTAAAGATATACAATTGAAATGTTCTTGTCGTACCCACCAAAGCAAACATACAAAGGCTATTGCGAAGCATGTGCCATTCTATAGGGTCAGGAGCACAGAAAGCTATAGAATGCTGATATTCCGGGTGAATATCGTAGAGGACAGTGCCACACAGGGAGCAGAATCACAGGGATGCAGAAGCGCTGGCATGGGCAGCAGAGAGATGAAGAGAGGCAGAGGAGACGGATGTGCTGCTGATTAAGCCAGAAGCAAGAGTTTGCCGTTATGGATCAAGTCACTAACAAAAGTACCTCAGGAGCACTTCTTTAAACCCTGGATGTCACCTTACCGAAGCAAGTAATGAAAACTTTTAAAATTATGATACAGTAAATACTTACTTGCAATAGTTGGTTTTCTGCATACGGTTAAAATATCAAAATCTGTTTAGCACTGAACTGTGAGGAGGCACAAGACAAAGTCTTTACATTAATACATACTTTTCATGCATAAGAATCATCAGAATCTCTCAGGGCGTCATACTGCACTGCACAATACTGTACTGTATGTACAGTACAAACTACAGGTTCACATCTGAGTTCTACTGTACTTCTAAACATTCTTTAGAAATGTCATTTGATGTTTTCTATATTATCAGGATTAATATCTACAACGTGCTTCCATGAAAATTTTGTCCTCATTTACTTGCACTCATGTCACTCCATTATATGCATAAAAACTGAGATTTTTAAAATATCCACAGAAGAAAGAAAATATGCTTCTGTTCTGTTACACCGAAGAAAATAAGTCATACAGGTTTGGAAGGACATGAGGGTGAGTAAATGCCACAGTGTTAATGTATGTTAACATATGTTAGCAAAAACTAAAATGATTAAAAATAGTTTTTGATCATTTAAATCAAGTTGAAATAAAATAAATTCTACCAGAAAAACTTACATTTCTTTTTAAAAAATAACTTATGTTCCCTTGGCAGCTAACTGAAATAAGTACTAAAATGACTCAAACTTAAATTAAAAATTAAAAATAAATGAAAGCTAAATAGAATGTTTTAAAATAAAAAAAATTAAATGATGACAACTAATTTTGGGGTGAACAACACTATAATTTTTCTCACAGTATGAACAGGTCTGTGTGCATGAATGTATAAATAAAAATATAGAGCTGCCTTTATATTTTAGTAAAGGGGTTCTTGACATTAAACTATAACAATAATAATAATAAAAAAAACTTACCCTAACATACATGTGTTTTCCATAACAAATATTACAACCGATGGCACGCCAGACTCAACAGCAGACTTCTTTCTTCTAAATCTCATAAATGTCATTATTTTAAGTGTTTAAAAAGCAGTCGAACTGCACACAACAGCAAAACTCTGCATGCAGCTCGACTCATAACGACTCCGTGGAGGGATTTTGCTGCCTGATCATTCCATTCCTATCGTTATGAGCAAAATTATCATGGCCAACATGCTAGCTAACTACTCAAAGAACAAAAAAAACTCAGTGGGTCTGGATTAATCACAGAATGATTATCTTTGCTCAAGACATTCCGGTATGAAGTTGTTTGGAAGTTATGAACAAGACTTACATCAAACTAGACTGTATTTTATTAATTATATGCCATATATAGAGTCCTGACCATGATATCATGCCCATAACTATATAGCTGCACTGACATTAATATTAACAGTGTGTCCGACTCAAGATTGGAGGGCCCTGCTGGTCATCTCACCCCTATGGGGAAAGGTTTTGCCCCATCCCACCCATTGCCCGCAGACGTAGCAGCCTCACAGCAGCGGCAGAGCTCAGGTCAACAGTTAGGAAAAGAAGCAGAAAGCAAAGCATGCTGGGATGACTCACACATGGCCATACCAGACTGAGAATGTCTGCTCAAAGCCTCCGTCGTAACAGGGTTCCCACGAGATGTTGGCCGAGGTCGTCGAGACCGAAACGTGGACTTTGGCGGGGGCGTGTGGGCTTGTGCCTGTGGGAGGAGGACAACTCGTGTCACACTCAATATAAACACACACTTGTACACAAAAGCTAAGGCCACACATATTTTATTTCCCTAAAATGTCTGTAAAAAGCCCTCGGTCAGAGCGATTAGCTCACTTGTCTTAACACAAACACTTGCGCTAACACAAACAAACAGACTCTGTGTGCATCATTTATCCTTTATCTCTTATTCAACAGCTTACTGTTAGCCTGTGGGGATGCTTTTGAGAAAAATCCCTCTATACTAAGACACTGAACCATTTCTAGAAGTTCGCTCACAGCATATAATATCCTCTCAGAGACCCAACCTACCAAAGGCCTTTTGTACAGAAAGCTTTTTGAGAGGAACTCATTGAATAGCTAACAGTTTAGCCTAGCAGCTGCTGCTTGGCTGCTAATCAGAAAGTTTCTTTAACTAAGGTCAGTTATTCTGCAGTTTCACTGCAGTCAAACAAATACAAACAGCCCAATAGCATGGTGTGCATGCCAATACAAGCGGGCAGCAATATAAGGACTAAGCTGGCAGTGTTTGTTTACAGCTGCACTAGCCACTAATAGAAAGAGACAGAACGTTATAGCATTTGCGCTACTTTCCTCTATTGAATTTATAAGCTATATCCTATAAGATTAGAGTGTAAGTGATAATCTTATGAATATGAATATATTTCAAAGTATTAAAGCAAGTAATCTATACACAAAAATTGATACTTTTGGCAAGTATGTGGTATTAAAGTGACAACATGAAATGAAGACACCAGTCAAATCAGTACCCTAGAATGAGCTTCATTAATATACAGTACTTGATTAGATGATTAGGGAGATCACAACTAACTTTTTCTCAGAAAACCTGCTTAATTTTCTTAATTTTTTCACAATGCTTTGATCATAAATGAGAAATACTCTTTAATCATAAATGAGAAATACCTAGTCTGTGAATAGGGTAAAACATTAACTGACAGATATCATTATAAAGTCTACATGGTACCCACAGTTTTCAACCGATGATTTTTCCTTTTTGTTTGATATACTGGATAAAGATTTTTTTAAATGTTTTTGATTTAGACAATTTAGTATGGTGACCGTGAGGTGACATGTTCGGTTCACTTAGTTTTGTCATGGCCACGACATAATAACTTGTGGGAACGTGATAATATGTCGTGGCCTCGAGATATTAATTTTTATGGGAAAGTCTTATTAACTCGAGGGAGCATGATATTATGTCGTGGCCTCGAGATGCTATGCTGAGGGAAATTATTAATTAAGAAATTATTATATTATTTATTATAGAAATTATTACATTATTAAATTATTGTATTAACCATAGGCCTTGGCTACCGGACTGTATTACGTGTGATAGTCAGCATTCAAATGAATTTTATCATGAATAAATGTTACATAAATTGCATAATATAAAATAGGCCTACAAGAATTTTTTTTTATCCATCCTACAGTCTTTTAATTCTATTAACTGATCGTCTTTCCCCCATAATATTTGTATATTATTATTATTATTATTAGTTATATTTTTATGTTCATTTATATTCATTTTTCCATTCATTTCGATCTCTTTACTTAACGTTCTGAATACTTTTGTAAATAATAGCCTACTGTAAATGCTCGACATGCCAATAAAGCTTTGATTATGCTGACTGGAATTTTTGCTGGAATGCAGTTTAAATTTAACATATATTTAATTTTATTTCGGCTAATTAACAGGCCATAATAAATACTATAGTGTTTCGTTGAGGAATTAATCATTCACGTTGTTTAATTTGTAAATGAAAACAGAACACGCTCATTTATCATTACACATGGGCATAAATACAATCATAAAGTTAAAACTTTATTGGCATAACTGTCAGGCATTTATTTGCAAAATATATGGTAGGCTAGCAAATACTAGCATAATTATACAAAACGTTAACTAGGTAAAGCGATACACAAATTGAAAGGGGAAATAAGCATATACAGTATAACAATAAATATAAAAATATAGCCCTAATAAGTTAATGTAATAATAACAATAATATAAATATACAAATATTAAATTAAATGTTTAATGTTAATAAAAATGTTTTATCCATTTTTGATAAACCCGAGTTGCTATGGTCACGCAGGTTTGTTTACGCATTAAACTCGTGGCCAGGAGAAAAATATGTCGTTCCCTCAACATAAGAAGTCGTGGCCACGAGAAATGGATGTCGTTCCCTCAACATAGCATCTCGAGGCTATGGACACAACATATGGATGTCGTTACCTCGACAAAATTATCACGTTCCCACGAGTTATTATGTCGTGGCCATGACAAAACTAAGTGAACCGAACATGTCACCTCCCGGTCACCGAAAAACAAAAAAAACATTTGAAATTAAATAGAAAAAATTAAAAAACGAATAAAAATTACATAAGTACATAACCAAATTACTAAAACTCATGCTAAAAATTAACTGAAAATATAAAAAATAACAGGTAATTCAAAATATTTATAATAGTATTAAAAAAACTAAGAAATATATACTAATATACTAAAATAACACTGGAGCACAGAAATAATAATTAGCCAAAAAGTATTTTACATCAGAGTAGAACTAGAAAAATATATACTCAATATAGTAATTTCCATAACTTTAAAAAAATTCCCTGATATGTTAGGGTTACTCCTAGAACCCAGAGACAAAGACCACTGTTGTCCTGCAAAATATAATCTAACATTTTTGTGCACTTTTAACGAAAATAACACTCTTTAATCTAATATTATCAAAATTCATCACTGTATGGAAAAAACATTTTATCGCAAGTCGTGTTTGTGCATCATGAAGTAGCGCCATTTGTCTCAACGCCTCCTACCGATTACTAGGAGGTGCGTGCTGGCAGTGATACTCGTGGCGACATTGGAGGCGACACACTCCCACTCCCCGTGGTCCTCCTTGCTGAGAGATTTGAACTGTAAGCTGCCTCTCGGTTGGACGTTGTGCTTGCTTCTGCTGGGCTTCCCTACCTTCTCCAATAAAAGAAAACAGTTCTAGCAAACACTTCAGTTGGGTTGACAATGATACAGAATTCCTACTTAAGGATTCTTAAGGATGCAGGTTACCTTTCTCCATGTAATGTTGGGGAATGGATCTCCTTCTGCCTCACAGGGGATGACCAGCTCTCGACCAGCCTCCTGCCTGTACTCCCCTCCAGGAACCACCAGAAATTTGGGTGGGTCCTATCCAATGCCAAACACCATGTTATATTGATGCAAATAGAAGATATTATCAAAAAGGTAAATAAGGAAAAGGAAGAATGAATAAAACCTACAAGTTTCATTCTTTACCTTTAGCACCAGAGGGGCGGGAGGGGACTGTCCCATTGTACCGAGGCTGTTGTAAGGCACGCAGGTGTAGGTGCCGAGAGAGTCCTCTGTCACCTCAGACACTCGAATGCTCCCATCTTCCATTTGGCTCCAGCCAGGGTACTGCAACAGAGAGAAACCGCAGCACACATACAATCAGGGAAATCGTTTCCTGTATCTCAAACAGTAGTGCATGACAACGTTTGATTCTCTACTGAACGAATTGAACGAATGATTTTGTACACTACCATTTAAAAGTTTGTGGTAAGATGTTTGTTTTTTAGTCTTTTGCCCACAAAAACTAATTTTTTATTTAAAAATACTATTATAATTTAATTAATTACTTTTCTATTTTAATATATTTTAGTCACATGATTCTTCATAAATTGGTTTTATAGTTGAAGAGGAGCCAGTGATCTTTGTCTGTGTGAGACTATGAGATCAGTGTGAACTGTGAATGAAACAGCATCTGTGAAAACACTGAGATCATTGTCCAGCTGGACTCACCTTCTCTATCCGCAGAGGCAGGCCGTCTTTTTTCCACTTCACTGAAGTGACAGGCGGGTTGGCATCCACCGGGCAGCGGATGTACCCCGGCAGTCCGATGGCCACATAAATAAGGGGCGGCATGTTTACCACACGGGCAGGGTCTATGGGACACAATAATAGTAGAAAATAAAAATACAGCATAAATGTTGAGATGTATAGATATTTAATATATTAGACATGTACGGTTTTGTGCATTGTTAAACTGTCAGACAGATGAGAGGAGTTTGTTCCGGATGTCTCTCCGAGTCATTAGTCTGGAACATTTAGTACAAATCCTCTGAATGAGTCAACTACTGATGGAGAAGTACACTAATAAAGAACTTTTTGCTCTCACATCACAGAAGTGAGAGTCTGAAATCAGACAAAAAGGTCTGAACAAGCTCACATTGAGACTATTACTCAGCTAATCGTAGTACAGCACAGTAAGTGCCTTGGAAACACAACTACATTTTCAAACTACATTTTTATACTTTCTACAGAAAATGTGAGTTGTGTTTGCCCATGCAAAACTCTCCACAACATAGGCAGTTAAAAAGACAATGGTAAGGTGTTGTGGGCTGATTTTAATTGCGAGAGCTAAGGAAACACCATGTCTGATGATATAAAACAATTTCAAGTTTTAGAGATAACTATGCACATATTTTTTGACTACAATATTTATTTTACTGTAGAACTAGAGTCTTAATTTGACTCATCATTTAAAAGTTTGGGGTCTGTAAGATTTTTTTGGGGGGGGAAAAAAATATTTTTATTCAACAAGGATGCATTGAAATAATCAAAAAAGAATTGTTTTTTTTATTCTATTTGAAAATCTTTCAAATGAATGCTGTTGTTTTGAATTTACTTTTTTTCCATCAAAATATTTTTTTAAAAACAGTATCACAGTTTCCACTAAAATATTATGCAGCACAATTGTTTCTTGATCACCAAATCAGCATATTCATTCATCATGTGAGTATTCAGCTTTGCCATCAAAGGAATAAATTACATTTTAAAATACATGAAAATAGACAGTTATATCGTTATTTTAAATGTTAATAATATTTCATAATATTACTTTTAACTGTACTTTTGATCAAATAAATGCAGTCTTGGTGAGCATAAGCTAATAACCAACCCCAAACTTTTGAATGAGAAATTAATACATAAATATAACAAATAAACACACCATGCATAACAAACACATTATTTGGTCAATCAAATGCATGTACAGAATTGTGCAATATCACAGGAAATGAAGGAAACATATATGGTATCTTCTAAAACCAACCAAAGGTTTTGAAATGCTACTATTAAAGGTATAGTTCACCCAAAAATGAAAATTCTGTCATTAATTACTCACCCTCATGTCGTTCCAAACCCATAAGACCTTCGTTCATCTTCAGAACACAAATTAAGATATTCTGATGAAATCAGAGAGCTTTCTGACCCTGCTTAGAGTGCAATGTAACTGACACTTTCAAGGCCCAGAAAGGTAGTAAGGACATAATTAAAGTAGTCCATGTGACATAAGTGGTTCAACCATAATATTAAGAAGGAACAGGAATACTTTCTGTGTGCAATGAAAACAAAATAATGACTTTATTCAACAATTTCTTCTCCTCTGTGTCAGTCTGTTCAGCGCATTCACAAGAGTACCACGATGCATGCGCTGCACCTTGATTACAAGCAGAGGAATGCACAAGCATGCGTTGTGGTACTGTCATGAACGTGCAGCGAAGAAATTGTTGAATAAAGTCGTTATTTTTGTTATCTTTGTGCACAAAAAGTATTCTGGGAGCTTGGACTATTTTAACGATATCCTTACTACCTTTCTGGGCCTTGAACGTATCAGTTGTGCTGCTGTCTATGCAGGGTCAGAAAGCTCTCAGATTTCATCAAAAATATCTTAATTTGTGTTCTGAAGATGAACAAAGTTCTTACAGGTTTGGGACGACATGAGGGTGAGTAACTAATTTAGTGTGAACTATCCCTTTAATTCCTTTGTGCCACAAAGCATAAATAACAGTATTATTTCTGATAACTTTTCCATTCTTTATATTGCATAAACAACATCTAAAGCGAAGACTATCAATAATGCTGTAAAAGAGATTCAGTTGCGTGTGACTCATAAATCACAGTCTCTCATTAGTGAAGACACCAGCCAACCGCAGCATGCTGGAGAACGAGAGGGAGCGGCGCTCTGAAACGAACACTTTGAAGAAATACACTGCTCCATCTTAACGCTTAGCAAAGTGCCAGGGTCTATTTTTAGCACAAGTGGAGCTGAGGGACGGGACGATGGGGGGAGTGGACCAGAGTGGAGAAAAGAACAGAAGAAAAGTCAGTCGTGAGGACGAAGCACAGGACTGCTAACGAAAAGGAAGAAGAAAAATTAGGCAATCTTGATGCACGGAGCAGACCTGCAATGCCATCAGCCATCCAACGGGGCCGCCATCGCCCACGCTTCCAGCCTGAGTGTCTGCAGGTGATGTCACTGCAGAGAAGAGGGTTTCTACACAGGATGATGTCATCCTTTTACATCCCCCCTCCTTTTTTCTCACTTACTGTCAAATACACTTTCTCTGCGCCTCTACTCGCTACACACATGGGCGGCCAGACTACGTGAGACTGTTTCAGAGGACAGGTGAAAATTCCTGCAGTCTGGGAATTCTGCTATGATGTAATCCCTTTCCGCCAATTCAACCCGAGCCAAGCTGGTCTGACACAGGCTTCCTCCGAGCGAGGGAATCTGAGATGTCTGTTGCCTTGGATACCACAGCCACTTCTGCAGCATTCATTCCTGTCACCATTTACTGCAAATGCAACATGTTTGGGTTTTGCTGGTGTTTTTTTTAACAACGTATAGAAAACCCATGTTCTTTGCATCAGTCTATTGGCGTGGAGGATGTGAGCCATGACTGAGTGATCTGCTAGCTTACTGACTCAAGGTCACTGTTTCAATTCAGCTCCAGACTCCGGGGACAGAAGGCCATTCCAATCTCTCAGCTGCAAATAGAAAGCGTCAGCCTGCCCAACAGCGGTAGTTGAAGCTAATACGCCCTCGTGCCCATGTATTGAGACGGAATATGCCGGGAGACTAAAGTAAACCTTTCATCAATTACAAAAGAGCACTGTTATGCCACCGTTATTCTGCATGCATGATCTCAATGTGAAAAAGTGATGAAAAGGCAGAATCTGCTGGTGAAGGTTGTTACTTAATTTTCACACTCAATCCAGGGAGACCAATGTCACAGATTCAGGATGAAGGAGAATTCCTCCTCTATTATGTCATGTACTGTATGATATTACGTAATATAATAGGCAATTGGGAATTACTGCTTTATTTAAAAATAATTTGTTACAGTGAAAGGTTGTCATTGTATCAAAAGTAATACAGGCCATTCAGTGTAAGTTCAGGAAATCACCTACACTGCCATTCAAAAGTTTGGGATCAGAAAGATTTTTAATGTTTTTTTAATGGAGTCTCTTAAGTTCATCAAGGCTGTATTTATTTGATTAAAATACAGAAAAAAACAGCCTTGGTGAGCATAAGAAACTTCTTTAAAAAACATTAAAAATCTTACCGATCCCAAACTTTTGAACAGCAGTGTATATCAGGAAGTCTTACTGTATATCACTGTATTTGCATTGGTGTTTAAACATCTGAGACCAGACTGAAAATCTGGGAATAAAAAGTCTAATTTGTAATGTATGTAAATGTATGCATTTATTTAATTTATAACAAACTGGAAGAAAATTTATATTATCATTAATTTATTGTTTAATTTAATTAAATTATTTATTTATTTTTTCATCAATTTATTTGATTTATTTTTTACATTTATTCATTAATTCACAACAAATTGGTGGAAAATGTATGACATAATGATTACTTTATTCTTTAATTTAACAATTTATTTATTGGTTTATTGATTCAATTATTTATTTATAACAATTTGGAAGATTACTTCATTATGCTTACCAGGTCACTAATCAAATATAAGCACATTTGTGACACTGACTGCGTGCATAAAAGGTCAGATGTTCTTAGTTTTATAAGCACAAGATGTTTTGGATCCATCTTAAATCATGCTGGATAACATGATCATCAGTATGCTTTTCGGATTTTTCAGCTCCACTGTATGATCAGCAGGATACTTGGAAAAGAAGTAAAAATACCAAAAGGATTCTATTCTGGTGGTTTCTCGCATACTGCAGTTGTAGTTCAGCATCTGCACTGTACAATGCAGTGAGAATTTTTAGGGGCATCAGAAAAGGACAAATGTTTTCAGATGAAAGACAAAGATTTAGTGTCTCTAGTTGTGTATCAGCAGACTGACTCACAATGCACTGTCAGGTACGCTGATGCAGAAGGTGGGCGCCCAAGGCTGTTACTCGGGCTGCAGGTGTATTTCCCAGCATCCTCAGGTTTCACCTGGGAGATGATGAGCGAACCGTCGATCAGAATACTCACTCTGCGCTTTAGATCACTGGAGAGAGAGAAAGAAAGATTGACAAAGATTTAGCATCAATAGTATTGATGATTCCAACAGTCTACACTACAACATACACTACCGTTCAAAAGTTTGAGGTCAGTAAGATTTTTTTTTAAAGAAATTAATACTTTTATTCAGCAAGGACACATTAAATTGATGAAAAATTACAGTAAAGAGATTTATAATTTTATAAAATTTCAATTAAATGCTGTTCTGTTGACATTTCCAACTTTCCAATGTTTGTTATTTTACATAAAATAAAACACAACCTTGGTGAGCATAAGAGACATCTACAGTAATACATTAAAAATAATCTTACCAACCACAAACCTTTGAATGGTAGTGAACAAAATCTTTTAATATTCCACTTACTGAAACAACATGAAAGTTTGTAAATACTGACATTTTTTTTTCAAAGCTATCCCTATAAATATGTATGCCCTACGTAAACTAATTTAAAGCCAGAGAATAAAGCACTATTCAAAGCCTTCTGAATTACAGTCTACTCTTTCAACAAGAACAGATGGAGTGTCCGAGGCAGAGATCAGAGAAAAAAAACCGCTCCAGTGGACAAAATGCCTGCGTGGCCTCTATTCTACCCTGTGCTTCCATCTGTCCTGCTGCACAGAGCCTCTATTAGAAAGAAAAAAATAATAATATCCTTTTTCTACACAGTGTACAGGCCACGCATGAGGGCGTCTTGGATGGCTTAGGGCACTACTACTTCTAATCAGTGCTAGTGGAGCGTATGATGACACAAGCACCATGTCGCTAGATATTCTTTTCATGGGGGAGAGAAGGAGAAGCGTGAACCTGAGAGGGTCTATAGTTAAGCGGCGTTTGTCATTTATCGTGATGATGGTGGGCACACATTTTGTGCCCTTTCCTATTCAAGGTTACTATAAAGGACACACTGTTTTATGTCATATTTTTGTGTGCTCTGTGTTTTTATGCTTACTAGACTATCATGCTATTGCTAAAGTCAAATGAAATCAATTGGTCTTCAGGTGAGGAGTTGCTTTCTAACATTCCCATTTAGTCACTTATAAGGCATCAAAGTATTTCAGTTCATCAGAACGTTCACACAGGGCAAACGAGACACAAATGAGACAGTATCTGAGGTGTGTGAACCTCCAAACAAGTGTAATGACACTGACACATGCACACAATGTAAACACAAGTGATAAACACATTGAACACAACTTTCATTGAAACACTTTTTTTAAAGTTAAAACTTCACAAAACCAAATTCCCCAGGTAAAATTTCAGCGTTTTTTTGGCAATTCTATTTGCAATTGTAGGGGATCGGCGCTTGGCACTATTGAATCTTTTTTTGACTGACAACTCATTAAAAATACATTTAAATGAAAATGCATCTGTTTATCAATAGATGAACATTACCATTCAAATATTTGGGGTCAGTAAGATTTTTGATCAAATACATTCAGCCCTGGTTTTAGAATTTAAAAGAGCTGTTTTCTAAGGAATCTTATTTCTGTCACGGAATTTAAAAATATATATAAAAAAATGACTTTTTTTATCTCTTATGTTTTTTATTGCAGTTCTGGGTTTATATCTCACAATTCTCACCAACACCTTTTTTATTTTTTTATTCTGTGGTGGAAACAAAAAAAATTAATTGTGAGATATAAACGCAGAATTTCAAAAAGTTAGAATTACAAGATGCAAACAATGCTGCTTAACATTTCTGTGTAAACCGTGATACAATTTTTTTCAGGATTCTTTCAAAAGAACAACATTTACCTTTTTTGTATTATTATATTATCTATAAAATATCTAACAAAATATCTATAAAAAATTTAAAATCTAACTGATGCCAAACTATTGAACGGATGTGTACAGAATATCAGTAGTGGTGGCATATTTAGTTGCACTTTGTGCACCTTCAGTTTTCTACGAAAATGTCACAACACATAGGTTTAAAAGATGTTTAACCAAAGCCTAAAACAGTATCACAATGGCCATAGTCCCTAAAACTCACTGATGCCTCAATGATGATGACGAAACTACATGGACTGTGACAAACTCCACATGGACACAGGACAGTGGGGGTATGGTACAGTAATGAACCCGATCATAACTTTACTTCTTGAAGAAGACGTTATCTTCCTCCCAGAACCAGGTGTACGTTAGGTTGCCAGGATACGCCTCAGCCTGACAAGTGAAGAATGCATCCTGGGATATGTTTACGGTTATGTTCTCTGGCGGTGAGACAATAAACGGGGGTCCTGAAATAGAAAAGAGACACATAATAAATCAGCATTACATATCAGGATGTGTCACATTCTATTGCGGCATATAGCAATCTCGGTCCTCTTCAAGGTTAAAAACAACAATATCGGAGAAAAGATTTAATAAAAGTCTTTTCAACAGATCAATACCTCATTTACAGTGGTGTACATACTGAATACCGAATGATATCATACTGAATGAGTTAATATAGGTTTAAGGTACCACTCAGCTGTACCATACATATTTGGATCAGCCGTCTCATCTGAATATCATTGGCCAAGATGATAAGAATTCTACCCAGCAGCCTACCCACAGATCTCACTCTACCGCCCACTGTGGGCATCGCTTCAGTTGGCAGTGCCAGTGTAAAGAGAGGGCTCTTCTGTGGAGAAAGCCTGCAGAGAGCTCCCCGTGCAGGCACGGACTCTACAGATGCTCTCCGTCCTGCTCGACAGCACACACACATTACAGTACAAAAACAAACTCGCTAGACAGTCAACGTGTCTACAAAACCGTGTTTATGCAACTTGGCTCTTTTATGTCTCTGCAGTTGATTTTTATTTAAGCTAACAGAAAACTTTTTCTTTTTGTTAAGTGAAGGTCTTTCATTAAAAATGGAAATTCTTTCACTCATTTATTGTCCCTAGAGTTTCCGGTCATTCTCGGTCTGGTCCACAATTCTTATTCTGGTAAAGAACCACCTACTCAAACGGGAACATACCACATGATCAACGTGAAGTGACCAAAGGTGTTACGCTCATAGAAGTCTCATTTATATAATGCAGTGTATCTCTAAATAATAAGAATCTTTATCATGAAATCACAAAATAATGATAAACTTTCTCATGATTAAGGCATAGTATCATAATAATAATTGGAAACTTATAATTAATGTTTAACATCTCATAATAATGGGAACTTTCTCATGATTAATGTTTATTATTATTACTATGAGTTAAGTCATTATAACAAGAAAGTTTCTCTTTATTGTGAAAAAGTTTCTCATTATTATAAAAAAGTTTCTCATTATTGTGAAATGTCAAGTCATTATTATGAGAACGTTTCTCATTATCATGAATTATAGAAATTATTATAATTTTTAATTTAACTGTGGCAGAAACAGGCTTCCATACCCTTCATCAACACCAAATCAGTGTTGATTGTGTTATTATACAGGATATAGTTTAGCATTATAGTTAGAATTAAATGGCTACTATTACAATGATTCACTTTTAAACCATTTAATACAGTGGGTGAAAAAGAAATTCAAAAGAAGCGGTTTTAGAAAAAAAGGAATGCCATTTTATGACTGCACTGAGTTTGATACTGATTTGATGGGACAAAAATAGGAAGGAGTGCTTTATTGTTGTCTAGAAGTGTGAAAAAGGTGAATAAAGAACACTATTGCACTGAAATCTAATTGTAATCTTTTGACAGCTCTTATATTTGTAGAAAAATCTCTCCAAGTAAAGTATATTTATGATTATGGGTAGGCCACAGCCACGGAGCTGAGCTTTGGTTACATTTTTTTTAATTAACACACAAAAAAATGTTAACAAATAGACAATATAAGTTATACATCCATTACGTTATTGGGTTACATGCTAACATGGCATGCTAAAAGCAGCAGACGCAGAACAGATTAGGTATCCCAACAGGAAAAAGCTTCTTTGGCAGCACTATGGTGAAAAATCTCTCTGACAGTGAACCCATTACTGCTTTATACTGTACCAGACAGCCAACATATGGAATCCAATTATCTCTGTAGCTCTACAGCATGCTTTGCAAGCATGACTGTACACACATACATAGACACAAACACACAGAGGACTGTTCAAACACAACACACAGTACTTCAACAACATGACAGTGATGTCATTCAGTTAATAGCAAACAATAAAGTCCTGTAGAAACAGTTTAGGGTAGTTATTGTGTTACCTTGGACGAGTAGGCGTGTGGTATGGATGACCTCTCCCTGCTCGCTGTACGCTCGGCATGTGTACGCTCCCCTGTCCTCACGGCTGATGGAAACAATCGTCAGGCTGCCATCACTCACCTGTGGAGAGATGTCACAGCATCACCTACTGAGATCCAAATTCTAAATAATCTCATTAAAGTGCTAGTTCATCCAAAAATCTAAACTCTGTCATGAATTACTCTCCCTCAAGTCATTACAAACCCGTAAGATCTTCGTTCCTCTTCGAAACACAAATTAAGATATTTTTGATGAAATCCGAGAGGCCCACAAACGTAGTAAGGAGGACATTGGTAAAACAGTCCATGTGATATCAGTGGTTCAACTGTAATTTTACGAAACTGCGAGAATACTTTTTGTGTGCAAAGAAAACAAAAATAACTTTTTTCATCAATTCTTCTCCTCCAAATCACGTCTTCCGCCATTATTGAGAGCAGTTAAGCATGTAAATAATGCATGCGCGTGATGCTGCAGACGTAGAACAGAAATGCGCATGTGTTGTGGTACTCTCGATAATGATGTGATTTAGAGGAGTCTGTAAAACTGTTGAATAAAGTCATTATTTTTGTTCTCTTTGCGCACAAAAAGTATTCACGTAGCTGCGTAAAATTACGGTTGAATCACTGATGTCACGAAATCACGTCTTCCGCCATTATTGAGAGCAGTTAAGCATGTAAATAATGCATGCCCGTGATGCTGCAGATGTAGAACAGAAATGCGCATGTGTTGTGGTACTCTCGATAATGATGTGATTTAGAGGAGTCTGTAAAACTGTTGAATAAAGTCATTATTTTTGTTCTCTTTGCGCACAAAAAGTATTCACGTAGCTGCGTAAAATTACGGTTGAATCACTGATGTCACATGGACTATTTTATCGATGTCCTTGCTACATTTCTGGGCCTGGGAACATTTCAGTGTCAGAGAGCTCTCGGATTTCATAAAAAAATATCTTAATTTGTGTTCCGAAGATGAACAAAGGTCTTACGGGTTTTGAACGACATGAGGGTGAGTAAATAATGACAGAACTTTAAAAAAGCAGTATATAGTAGTAAGATTTTTTATGTTTTTAAAGATGTCTCTTCTGCTTACCAAGCCTGCATTTATTTGCTCCAAAGTACAGCAAAAACAGTAAAACAAAAAAATTGAAATATTTTATATTCTATAATTTCTCAAAAAATCATCATCCAGTCTGTCTGGAATGACATGAAGAAACAGAACAAACTGAGACAGACTAACTCCAGAAGAACTGTGGCTACATCTCAAAGATGCTTCAAGAAACCTACCTGTAAAGCTACCTGAAAAACTATGTGCAAGTGGACCTAGGGCAAAAGCTGCTTTAAACACAAAGGATGGTCACACCAAATGTTAATTGATAAAGAAAATCTATTTATGGCATTATTTTTGACAGCATTCTATGATGTGCCTAAAACTTTTAACAGTACTGTAGCTTTCTTGAAGCATCTTGTAGATGTTGCCACAGTTCTTCTGGATTTAGTCTGTCTCAGTTTGTTCTGTTTCTTCATGTCACCAGACAGATTGGATGACGATGAGATCAGATCTCTGTGTGGAGCACTGGCTGTTGTCAGACTCCTTGTGCAAACAAAAATCTCACTGGATTATTACAATTAATGGCAAAATGAATGTTTGGAAATGTTAACTGATATTTCCTACTGACACACTACAGCAAAATATTTGTAAAATAATTTTGGCCACCATGGGTGAGTGAATCATGGGGTCATTTTAATTTTTGGGTGAACTATCCCTTAAAGGTGCAGAATGTAATATTTTCAGCTAGCGGTTGAAATGGGAACTGCAGTCCAAATTCAAAATATCGGAAAGCGTTTTTCCTCCTCTGACTCCACGCTTATGCGAGTTGCCAGATTAAGGACACACAACAGGAACGAGTACAACTGAAAATGGAGGGCGACAAGCCTTACACTGTAAGTTGATTTATCCATGTTTTAATATGCCTCTGGTCATAGAGCTTTTTAGATGGTTGTCGAGGCTTTTTAGGTTGGGTAGAATCTGCAATCTCTGACCCAATTGGTTTGCTGGCTTCCATGGCTGTAATACGCTGTGTTTTCCACCACCGGGCAACCCGGGTGTCGAAATACTGTTGGGTAAATTGGCAGTGGGTGGAATCACACAGATCAAAACAAAAACAGACATTCTGACACAGAACGCTCATTTCAAAGTAAAATGACTGGCTGTAACATTGTTTTTCAGAGATACAACTATGCCAACTTAGCATGTTTCCTAAATGTCTGCAAACCTTATGGTAGTTTTATGCTTTAGTACAGTCCAAACATTACATACAACACATTTTGGGGTTTTCAGGATTTATTTATTTATTTTTTTATTCATTGTGTATACTGGAAAACGACAAAAATACTGATTAAGAAAATTTCTTTTTGCAGGAAGAAGTTTTTAAGTTTCTCTGAAACTTGAATATATGAATATAAATTATGTTTTCACATTCTCTCATAAGTCAATATAAATCCCCGTTTTGCTTATTAAACATCTCAGGTGTTTTTTTGTTTTTTTTTAAGTCTGTTTGCTTCAAGTGAACAGTAGCGCCTTAAGTCTTGAGCAACTTCTTATTTCTTATCTCTGTGACAGATTTAACTTTTTTCTTATATGAACACATAGATCAGTAGAAATTATGTGCTGGGGGAACCATGCTCAGCATCCCACTGCCAAACCAACAGCTTTGTTTCTTTACATTCAACCCATGTATCATGACAGGGGCCACTCTTACAAAAAAACTCATAACAAATAAAACAATTTGACAAAACAAATAGTCTCAAACACAGTGCAAACAAAAGCACTTTGCAGTGAAAACGTTGTGAACCGGAGACAGAAAGGCAGAGACTGCGTAGGAGAGATCAAACAAACCAGGCCACTCCAACAGAGACTTAAAGATCAATGTGCATCTCTCTTTCTGAGCCCACACAAGAGTTATTTCCATTTTACCAATTGTAGAGCAGTTTTTGCATTTATCTAATATGCTCTGGATTTTTCTTAGATAGATGGGCTGTGCCATGTGGACCGAGGAGGGTTTGGTATTTTTATTAAACATTTTAGAAATCAGGATACAAAAGCATCATTTATAATGGGGATTTCCCAGCCAGTTTTAGCAATGGTCAATTTTGTCCCCACAACTTTATTAAAGGGGTCATATGATGTTGCTAAAAAGAACATTATTTTGTGTATTTGGTGTAATGAAATGCGTTTATGCGGTTTAAGGTTAAAAAAAACATACTACATACTGTACATTTTTGTTTCTCCTCTATGCCCCGCCTTTCTGAAACGCGTCGATTTTTACAAAGCTCATTGGTCTGAAAAGCGAGGTGTGCTCTGATTGGCCAGATATCCAGTGCGTTGTGATTGGCCGAATACCTCAAGCGTGTGACGGAAATGTTACACCCTTACCATACTATGATGCCGTGTCCCAGCGCGACAAGACAAAACCAATAAAATCCATTATAAACGAGGCATTTGTTGCATCCAGTGGGGACATAATTACGGATTATAATGACTTATACTGTCTTTTTACGCGTTGCGTTTCTTTGTGCCGCGCACACATAAAACCATGTCTGCATTTGTGATCGGAGAAACAACAAACAACAAGCGCTACTCTACACTGCTTAAAACTCACGTTTGAATCGTCAGTGGCAAATTCTTTAACTATGAAAACGTACTTACAGTCTGTGAGTCAGAACAGCCGGCATTGTAGGCTACTCTACCAGGATCAGGAAACAGTCCTCCATAAAATGCGCTGCACACATCTGAATATTTGGGTTGAACAGTGTTGTAAATACAACATAACCACTGATTTCTAGTCATGTCCTCTTTTGGAAGGTCAAAAAGTATTTTCGCTTTGCAACGAAACACACAGCGTCTTCACAACATGGCGGCGGCAGCAACAATAAAGTTATGCCTTCTTTCTTTGCGTGAACATTTGGGCGGTGTTATGCAAATCTTCCCACATCGTGACATAGACATGTGGGGGCGTGTTTGAACGGGGCGTTTTAGGAGGGCGTGGACGAGTCTTAACTTTTATAAAGAATATCTCTTTAGGTTTGAGACTTTAGTCTTTGCAACTTTAGGGATCTTATCTATTCACGAACAGCTTGTAACACTCCAAAGAGAAAGGAAACTTGAAATCGCATCATATGACCCCTTTAAATAGCTGGGATGTATCTAATACAGAGGAAGCATCTACATTTCTTATTTATTTATTAGTTTTATTTACTTTACACAAATTATACATTTATTTAAAAATGTTTAAGTCATTTAAAATTATTTGTGGATAAACTAATTAATATTCATGAGCTAAGCCTTTTGTGCAACAAATTATCCCCACCCATTTATTATTTTGACGTTTTCTTTTGTACAGGCTTTTGTTTTTAGTAAAATACTAGGCCAGCCTGCTCCGTGTTTTGTCTTAATTCTGAAGTCATATAAAACATGCCAGTCATAATTCATTAATAGGTTCCTGTATGAACTCTGAAGCTCTTTCAAGCTGTGATGGTTAGATTGCTGGCTCGGTTTCACAATCACCCTTTCGAGACAAGGCCGCACTTTTGAGAGGAGAGTGTCTCTACTTGTTTTTTGGCCTTGAATAGTGCACATGCTCTCAGAGAGTGAGCTGAATAATTGATTTACTCAGTACAAGAGTGTGTGTTTGGTGGCAGAGGGGCAGGTAAGGGGTGGGATGCTGAAACTTACTATGTATGATTCATCAGTACATGTTATTGCAAAGGGAAAAAAACAATGTTTGTTTTTGTAATTTTTCATCAAAATGTAATAACTTGCTCCACCTTTGAAATAACTTTCTTCTCAGCTGATATCACTGGGCAATGAAATAATGCAGAAATAACTTTCTTCTCAGCTGATATCACTGGGCAATGAAATAATGCAGGCTTTTCTAAACTTTAATTGTTAGTGAAATATAGGTTAGATTTTAAAATTGATTTTTTTTTAAATAATAATTTTCTAGCATTACCATTGAGACAAGTCAAGAGGCTTAAGGGTGAAAATGTCAAAAGTGGATGCCAACTGTTTTGGGAGAAATATAG